TCAAAAATCTATTTTAGGATATTAGATTTGCCAACATTTGAAAAATCTTTTAAAGTCACTCAATAAGTGTACTTTATTAAATGAACAGTTTGACAGTGCTTTTTATTCTTTTAATTTTTCCTTTTTTAAGTTTTTAGTATACTGTGCAGTCTACAGATGTAATGAGAACCCTGTTTCATAACATACAGATCACACTGCACAGGACTCAAGACATATAATTCCAGATTTTTATCCAAGGAAGAAAGGAGCTACTCACGAAAATTTTATAACAGTTCAGCTGTGATTGTGTCTGACAGAAGATAGGATTCCAAACAGATAATGTGTAGTCTTGAAAAAGAGGGACAATTCTATAATTATGATATCCAAAAATCAAAGAAATCCAGAAATATGAGATTAAGCAAAATAAAGAAAAACAATGAGTTATTGATACTATTTTATAGTGTGTTAATTTAAGACACTACTGTGCAGGAGGCTCCCAACTATAGTGTATGGGCTGAACAAAGATCCACGTTACATTTCTTACACTACTACAAAGTATTTTTACTTGTAAACCTTCTTTTTGGTTTTCCTGTGTATTCTTTGCATGTGAATGACTAAGATTCTTCTGTCTTCTCCAGTCTCTTAGTCCTAGAATTTCCTAGAAAATATTATATGACAAATTGATATTAGGTAAGGAGTAAATTTGATTTTTGTATTCACCTCTGAAGATCATTAATTTCTTCTTCTCTAAATATTTTAGATTTGAAAAAAATATATTAATTTCAAATACTCGGATGTAGAATTTTCATAATTTGTCCTTTTGCCATTGTCTCCCATGAAAGAGAGGAAACAAGAAGATGAGATCAGGTCAAGAAATACTTAGCATGTACAAGTCATGAAAGTTGCATTGACTTGCAAGGTAGGGTTTTATCTTAGACCACATCCACACTTGTCTTCCTCCAGCACTAGGATGCTTTGTTTTCTCCCTTACCTCACCACAGCAAAGCACTCACATGGGAATTCCGGTCCCAAACCCTTCTTCTAGGAAACATGACTAAAGACAGGAATCGAAGATGTCTTACTATTACAACAGAGAGATGAACCTATGATTTATGTTAGTAGCTATTTTATGTTCCCAACATTCCCATCTCAATCTATTTGTCCTTCCCTCAGGATGGACTATAGCTTTATAAAACAGTTCCTAACAATACATCACACTGATAGGCTTTCTGTGGGGCCTCCTAGATTCCCTTCGCTTTTATGAAAGATGAGTAAGAACTTTATTATCCGCAAGTGTACACATTTAACATGTAATTAGATGAAATACTTTAGCATGTGTCCCTAATGTATGATCAAATTTGAAACTATATCATGACCTAACAACTTCTCTAGTACCTAATAGAAGATTTCCTTGTGAATCAACACAGAAAGAATGCTCAAATTGTAGTTCTTCTAAAAGAAAAATTGTGGCTAAAATATACTATCTTGCTTTTAACACGTGACACAAAGCTCTTACTAAGCAGCTATACATTGTGAATTTATAAGATGAGTCTTTTCTTACTGTATTTTGAAATTTTACTTGTTAAAACCTCTTTTTAAATTATGAAAATGAGGACATTTATAAACCCTTCTCATTATAAAATATGTTATTTAAAATATCTTTATTTTTATGGCATTATTGATGTATTGATAGCACAAATTTCTATATGCTCAACAATTGCCCTGACTGCAACATACACAGAAATTGGAATTTATTATCTGCATGCAAGGTTTGTAAAATGTTTTCTGATTGCTTTTTCTATAGAATATTAATTTCCTCAAAACTTTAAATATCAATAGCACTTAACTATTTTGCTGTGTTCCAAGAAGAAGAACCATTTTTTTTAAGGGAATTTAGCATCTAAGTAATTTTTTTAAAGTTATTCTCCTTTCATTCAACCTGCATGTTAGTCGTGGGCCTAGATGTCTCCCAGAAGCCTCCTGTGGTGGCTGGAAGTAGCTGGACCCTGGGGCTTTAGCTGACTGCGTGTTACGAGCTGGGGCCTGGTGAGGACAGGAAGTGAGTATCCACCCAGAAAAACAATTTAAAATGGATTAAAGACTTTAAGGTATGACAAGAGACTATGATATTTTGTAAGAAAACATAAGGGAATTGCTTGAGGACATTGGAATAGGCAAGAATTTTTTTTTCTTTTGGACAAGACCCTAAAAGAACATTCTAAAAAATCAGAAATTGACAAATAGGATTACAGCAAACTCTATGCTTAGCACAGCAAAGGAGTCAATCAACAGACAAAAGATACAATCCACAGAATACTAGAAAAATTTGTTTTTGCAGTGCTGAGGATTGATGCCTGGGAGTACGCATGCTAGACAAGCATTATACCAGGGAGCCACATCTGGTCCAGTAGAAAATATTTACAAGCGATACATCAAGTAAGGGGTTAATACTTACAATATACAATGCACTTCAAAACCTCAAGAAGAAAAAAACAAACAACAGATCTACATACGCATTCGTCAAAAAAAGATATAAAATGGCTGTCATTTGAAAATATGCTCAACCCCGATGACCCAATGCAAATCAAAACTGGAATGGGATAACATCTTTCTCCACTGAGAATGGCTATTATGAAAAGAGATTAAAGATAGAAAGTTCTGGTGAGTGTGGAGAAGAAGGAAAACTTGTGCTCTTGGTGGGAATGTAAAACAGCAGCTATTATGCAAAAGAGCATGGAAGGTCTTCAAAAACCGTAAACATGGAACTACCATAGGATGTAGACATTCTACTACTGGGTCTGTATCTGAAGGAAATAAAATTGGTTGGTTGACGAGACATGTACATGCCCATGTTCACTAGAACAATATTTACTGTAGCCAAAATTGGAAGCAACTTGAGTTTCCATCAATTTAATGGGTGAAGAAAGTGTAATGAACACGTGGAGCATCCACACGGGACAATATTATCTGAGCACAGAAGAGAAGGAAATCTTCACATTTAGGGCAATGCGGATCAGATTGGAGAGCGTTAGTTGAGAGAAACCAGTCACAGAAAGACCAGGACTGGACTGGGGATTTAGCTCAGTGGTTCCGGTGCCTGCCTCGCAAGCGCAAGGTCCCGAGTTCGATCCCCAGTACCAAAAAAAAAAAAAAAAGAAAGAAAGACAAGGACTGTGTCACTGCAGTCATATGGGGGCCAAATAGCTGATATTGAAGCAGATGAGTGGAGAATTGTGGTCTCTGAGGATGAGAGAAGCAGTGTAAAGGGTAGGAATGGAGAAATGCTGAGTCATGCAAGAAGTCCGTCATCTGTACCATTGCACAGAAGAGCCGATGTGGTTAACAAATGCACACTCCACCAAGCAGGAAGCAAATACTTCGAAAGGATTCAAAAAAGAAATAACTACCTGAGGAGATATATGTTTAACCTGATGTAAACATTACACAGTGGATATGTGTATCGAAACATCTTCTTGCCCCTTTACTATGTATAATTTGTATGTTTCACTTAAAGAAATCACTTGAAGAAAGGTAATATGAAAATACAAAAGGAAAGAATAAGCTCCTCCAGAAAATGAAAAATAAACCTTTTCTTGAAATCAATGGGAATCTTATTTAGTTGTACTAGATCAACTTAAACTCACTTTTAAAAGGTATTTACGAAGGTGTAAGCAAGAAAGTTCTTTGGCCATTTCTTGTCAGTTGCTGTGAGAACAGAAGGTTCAATAAATATGTTATTAGGTCATCATGAGAACAAAACAAGTGTCACGTGTGTGAAAGAGTGTTAAGTTTAAAAATATGTATATTTCTTGACATTTCTTTGGGCATGTAAAACCTCTTGTCTGTCAGAATTAAACTTATTTTAAAGAATTGGGCTAAATGAATAAGAACAGTAGTGTTTAATAAGTAACAGCATAAAACAAAGGAGGTGAAACTCATACCTTAGGGGCATGTCCTTTATTTCTTGTACAATCTTTACATTTCAGATGTTCATGGTGCTGTGGATTTATTTTGATTCTGTACAATTTCTGTGTAATGATGCTAGTAAGTTTTCTTTCTCTATAATCAGATTATTCTCAGAATTGCCCCATCCTTTTATTACTTGAGACTAAAACACAACATAGAATAAACTGCAGCACAGGCATCATAGTTGGCTTCCGTTGTCTGTGTAACACTTTGTTGTGTTGTGGGAATCTTTGCATCATTATCAGGGAACCACAAACTCAGAGAGCAATGTGCCTCATTTTCTGCTCACTCCCTTTTGACCTGACAACTACTGGTATTATATTACTCAGTGTCTAATGATGACATATGCTGAATTAAAAATCAATTACTGTGCTGGCTAGCCTACAAGATGAGTCCTAATGATCTCCACCTCTCTGTATTCATGCTTTTGTGTTATTCCCTCTTGTACTCTGTTAATATTGGTCCTCTGTCATTTTAGAATGTGGCAGAAGAAATGGGATAGCACTGGGGACATTATGTATTCTCTCTTCTGCTATCTCTTTCACTACTTGCTCCAGAAAGCTGAAGAATAAAGACAGCTCTTGTGTTCTGCAGAGAGGATCACATAGTGAGGAATAGAGGAGGCCCTTTGCCAATAGCCAGGAGGTAACTGTGACCCTAGAAATAGATCTTACAGCTCCGGTGTGACCCACAGGCAGGCAACTGCGGTTCCTGGCCAACGTCTGACTTCAGCTTCAAGAGCAACCCTGAGCCAGAGTTGTCAGCTAAGCCATTTCCAATTCCCAGACCACAGACACAGTCCAATAATAAACATTTGTTGCATCAAGCCACTAAATATGGGAATAATTTTATTTGTAGTCATGAGTAACAAATACATGTAAACTATTCTAGAGGTTTATATTAGATTATGTTTGAAAACAGAAAAGTTGTGCTTTGAGACAAGTAATTGCACACATTCATGAGATAGATATTTGAGTATCCCTAAATAAATATGTACAAAGTAGAGCAAAGTACAACTTAATCTCCACTTACTTCATAATTTGCTAGCCCAACTATTTGGTCCACTGAACAGTTGGACAGTCAAAGCTGAATTCAATAAAACGGCTCTCATTATGTTACAACTTTACAATCAGGTATGAAAAAATGTCAAGGTTACCTATTTGTGGGGTTAAAAGTTACGAATTCTTAGTTAAGGATAGCAATTTATAATGTGCAAGCTTTGAACCTATTTACTTATCTGAAGATAGGACCTCTCTATGGTGTGTCAGCTGGACAAAACCTGAAATTCCTCCCTTGAGTAATTGTCCAAACTCAGCCTCTTGTGTAGCCTGAACCACCTGGTGCATATGTGCCACCGTGCCAAAATAAACCAACATATTTCCTAAAATAATGACCATATTAAGGAACAGAATTAAATATTCTCTAAATATCTAAATGACTTTATATTTCCGTTATTTCTGTTACTCTAAAGCATTCTCTCTGTAATCTAATTTCTCTATAGTACTTTGTAAATATATTTTAAACTTTAAATGTTATATGTAGATAAATGTAAAGTCAATAAAATATGAACAACACAAATAATTCATATTTTGATGATGCTTAAATGGTGATATATTTATTTAGTTTAATGTCAGGAAATTATAGTATAACATATAAGTTAAGTGATCATTGTGTTTCTGTATGAAACAAACATGAGTTTAGTGAGATGTTTCCTTGTTGCTATAATAGAATCATGCAGTTTAAATAAGTGTTATATGTGGGGAAAGCCTGGTAAGTACCCTGAGATACTGCAGTTATTTAATTTAGGAAATCGTTGGTGGGGAAGAATAGCTGAAATATTTTACAGGGTAAATGCATGATGTGCCCTTCTGTTCCACATTGTACTCCAATGCTGCACGGTCCCATGAGAACCAGAACGGACCCACGCACACAGAAAAATACATACAATCCACGAACCAGTTCAAAGGAAGCTGTAGGACAGGAAGTAGAATTTACAATTTTTTCCAGTCTCTAGTATTTTCTTTTTCTATATAGTGCTGGTTCCAAGTCACTGCGGGACACTGGATTTCAGTCAGAGACCCAGCGGAACAGAAATAGCATATTCAGGCCGAGTTATTGAGAAGAGATCTGGACGTGAAAACTGGAAAGGGAGACCGAGACACCCGGCATGGGGCCAGCTGGGGAACCATGAGTGCCCTCGGTGTGGAGTGGCGAGCGCAGAGAGCAGCTAAGGAAGGGAAGCAGGATGGCCATAGGGCAGCAGAGCCTCCTGTACAAGAGGTGTGGTCTGCTCAGGACGGAGAGGGCCTGGCCTAACCCCAGGCCTTCTGCATTCTGAAGAAGCGACAGAGAGCCTGGAGACAATGCCCCTGTGAGGCCATCCTTGAAGGTCGTGTCTGCAGGGAAGGATGGAAAAGAACAATCCCTGGTGAAAGTTCACGATGCTCCTCCACCTGCTCTCCAGGGAAGGAAATGTGCACCTTCGGAGACCATCAAGAGCAACAGCAAAGGTGTTTGTGCTCTTCCTTGGTTAACTACAACATCCACTTAAGTAAATTCCATTAACATTCACTGATAATCCATAATGTTTCCCATGTCGTTGTTTTTGGTGTTCTCTACTACACATACTATGTGCACCTAAGCTCACCCCTTGGCTGGGTATTTTATTATCCAGTTCTTTGCTGGTAATTGCAGTAGATACGCTGTCATTAGACAAAAAGGCAGACTGTTAATGATCTCATTCTAACATTCTAATTCAAATTACTCAGTATTCGGGCCATGCCACTGATTAATTCTGTCATCCTACTGCCTATGCAATTAATAAAATTATACTGAATAAATATACCAGATGTTATGAATTTTGATGTTGAATATTCATGTGTTATGAAAATATCTGAAGCAATTTTCAATTCTGACAAAAAAATTTTAAAACTTACTTAACCCTATTTGGCTGTCAACACTTGAAGTATTTTAACTTAACGTACTATTTATGCAAAGTCCAGGAATAATGATACTTCCGATTTTTAGAAGTTTGTCTTATTTTGCCATACTATGGATTACCTCAGCTCTTCCTTTTAGTTTAACCTTTATATGTTGATGTCAGCTTCAGGAAGTTGCGTTCTCTTTTATTTGTCTTTGTTTGTTTGGGGATATTCATAGTCTAAAAAACAGTGGGACTCATACAATAACCTCTTAAGAAATATCTGCTATTTAAATGAGTTACACTTCTAGGTACAGTAATTCTCTTTATAGGATTTGAAACAGTACTGCTGCCTACCATGTTATAGAAGACATGCTTTTTGATGAACCACAGCAAAATTCAGAGGAACATGGAAATTGAGCCATGGATAACTACAGAAAGATACTTAATTTTTTGTTTTTTGTTTTGGGTTTTTTTGGTACTGAGGATAAAACTCAGGATGTTGCATTTGTGAGGCAGGCAGCAGCACCACTGAGCTAAATCCCCAGCCCCAGAAAGATACTTAGTACTCATTAACTTTTTATTAAAAGACGAAGTAATTACTAAATTATTTGCAGAATTTATGTTTATGTCCAATGTTTGTCACATATACTAATGCATATCCATGTAACCTTTTATCAAAGTGTGGTATTTTACTTTGAAAAGAACACATATTCTTACAGGGCTTTTCACAGTAAAATCTTCAAAAAGGTAAGAAAAATACCTAGAAGGGATCGGCATCCCTGGTATCAGTTTTCCAGGAAAGAATCTCTCAGTTATAAAATCAAAATAAAAATTTTGGCTTATGGCATTTGAGAAAAAAAGTCCAACAACTCTTGGGATCATGATTTCTCAGGTATGGACTTTGAGGATTTATTTAACATGTTTGGGAGTTTTCAAATAGTAAAGATTAAAATGGAAATTTCTACAAGAGGCCATGTCAAAAGTTTCAGGCACAGGCATTTGTTTCTGAGAGAGTTATCTAAATTTATTCTGCCCTCCTTGCTGTGTAGAGGCCAAAATGAAATCAAAGTCCTCTTTAAATATTCATCTTTCCTCAGCTTTGGTAGCATGTGGCCCTCTGGACAAGATGTAATTTTTTTTTCTTAGAAAACAACCTAACAGAAGACTAACAGTTGATAGAAGCAAGACTTTATCAGGAGGGAAAACATTAAGTGGAAATGAATGGTGTTACTATTTTCACTCTCCCTACATTGTTACCCTGGAATTTTGGGTTTGGATTGTATCAAAGAAAGTACACTGGGAGAACTGATTCATTTTAAGTTCCCCTATATTCTTATTGTTGTCAAATTTGGAAACAAGGAACCTTGGAAATATCTCTAAAGGGACTCATAACTGCAGAAATCTAGCTACATGGTTATTTTAAAAATCTATACTGTCTTCTTTTCCTTCACCATCCAACTAAATATGAATCATTCTCAGGTTTAACTCTCTCTCTTCTTTGTTGACTTTCCCAGAGCCCTCTTTTTTCTTTGTGATTTACGTACTGATCTCTCTCCAGCCCTAACCTTTCTCTGATGGATTCAGAGCAAGAACATTGAGATTATAGTCTGAATGTTCATGTCTGTCTTTCTTTTTTTCCTTTTTCAATTCAATCGATTTTATTGAGGTAAAATTTACCTAGATAACATGGACCACTATAGATATACAAGCAATAAGCTCTGTCAAATGTCCACAGCCATGGGACGAATACTATAATCAGGATGGAAAACATTCCCCCCCACCAAAAAAAAAATCCTGTTTTAACCTTTAGAGTCACTTCCACCTTTCTTCACAACTACAGGCAACTAGACAACCAGTGATCTGCTCTCTGATGTATAGATTGTTTCAGAGTTTGCTATCATTTTCTGTAAATGGAATCATAAACTCTGTGCTCTCTTGTGCCTGATTTATTCATTCAGCAGGCTGTTTAGAGGTTGGGATTTATCCCTTGTTGTGGATCAGATCAAGCATGACTCCCCAAATCCTCAGGCACTCAGAGGTAGACTTTTTGGAATAAGACTCAGTAATTTCATTTGTAGAACTGAAAAATGTGGTATTATATTCTATTCCAAAATTAAATCACTTTTACTCTTCTGCATAATTACTCCTCTGGATTCCTCTCACCTCACCATGGGTGCCATGCTCATTGTACCTGCCCCATGTGTGATCTGCAGCAGTTACTATCAAAGGTGCTCACGGTTTCTGTCCAAATAAACCCTGCACAGGTTGCCCACTTCATCCAAACAGATAAAAAGCTGACTTCTCAAGGTTACTCCATTGAAAACTGAGAATTTAGATTCAAGATACAGTTGACCAAACATTGCAGTGCAAATTACTCTAGCAAAGGACTTAACAACCATTCCCAGTAAAGTTCTTTAAACCTTTTTTTTTTAACCAAAATGGAGCTATTGTAATCTCAAACAACTAAACAACATGGTAGCTGAAGCTTAATTTCCAGCTCACTGGACAGGAACTTAGCAAGAGCTGCCATTTGAGTGTACACAATTATACCTTTCCATGTTCATTACAGATTAAGGCATCAGACCAGGCTAGTAAAGGAAATAAATAACCCTGAACATTTCTTCTTGGTTCAAAATTAGGATCTCTAGTAACGAAACTCTTTCCAAGTGTATTTATTACTTTTCTGGAAAAATTTAATGGTTATCCAACTGGTTCTGTTGATACAAAGGCCACTAATAACTCAAACATTTTAAAAAATGAGCTAATCACATAAATTATAACTTTCAAATGTTCTATTTTTCAAGTAACATTTAAATTGAGTCCAATCCCATTCTGTAGAGACATTTGCTAATATGTGAGACCAGTATATCTGACTTGTTTAGAAATGAGTTTGTTGAATTAGTCTTTTCAAGTTTTATTTTGTAGAAGCTGAAAGCGTAAAAAGACTGAAGACCCAAATGCAGCATTTCTGTTTGAGGCAAATTCCTTTTCTTCATGCTATTACTGATGCTAGCAATTGGGTTTCTATGAATTTTCTAGAAAACATTTACTTGTGGAAACATAGTAGTTGCAGTGAAAATTAAATGAGTCTTCTGGAGTCGATATGGCTCTGTTAGGGTAAATAAAAGTCTTGCAATTGTGAACCAAATTTAGGGTTATTTAAGATTTATAATTGTGATATAAAATGCCAGATCCTTATGTATATACTTAATATATTAAATTGATAAATATATAGTGGGGGGATAGAATGGAAGTCAGGACTTCTGTACTCTGATGTAGATTTTGCATAACATCAGCTGTATGCCCCCAAATATATTTTCTAAAATTCCCGCATGGTTTACTTATCTGAAGCAATAAAGAGCTATGATTATATGCTCTCTAAATTTGCTTTTATCTCTAGTTAATTGTAGCAATTAGAAATAGAACTTCACAAAGCAGTGCAGGCAGGATCACGGAGCATGGAGCTCTCATCTGGTGATCTCAGATCTGCCATTCTGGGCCAGTTTGGAGGACTGTGACAGTCTGTGTGACAGCTGTGATTGCTTCCAGTGTAGATTTGTGCAGTGAATATTTGTCTAGGAGTGAAGATCGATAAGTGTGAAGCCTCTACTACAGCAGTAAAACAGAATCCTAATCTGGTGCACTTCGCATTCTCTGGCTGACACCGAGGCCAACCTCAGTTCCTTGAAGTAAACTGTTAATCTGTGGATATTTAAGAACAATCACGTGACTACCTTTTACATGTTCACTTCCATAAAATATTTTGAAAAGCCAAATATTTATAGCCCATACTGGCTTACAAAATACTAGAGTGAAAAAAATGACCTTGAAAAGCAATTTGTACCAGAGAAACAATAGATAAACCTAATATACATGAAGCAAAACTCTTCCCATGCACACATATGAATAAAATGAAATAAAGCTGTCATTTTCATCTACTAAGTAAGCAAAAAGATTAATTGTACACTCCATGATTTCGGATGGTGAGAAAACCAGGCCACTCTTATAGTACTACTTTCAAAATGGCTTGATGGAACCTTGAAAGACAATTTTCTGGATGTAACTGAGATATTTAAGTATGTCCTCATCTTTCTACCGAGGGCTATCACTCCTGGAACTTAGCATAAACAATAGTTCAATGAATGAGTATTTAAATGTAAAAACAAGAAGAGAGGACTTTTTAGAGTAAGAAAATATCAAATAAATACACATTTTACTGTAGTGCAGATTATGAAAATTATATAGCTACATGACAGTATTCTGTATGTACTATGTCAAAATACAAAAATATAGTAATAGGTACAGTATGAAGTCTAAACAAATATTAAAACAAAAATAGAAACTGACTGGGATTGAGAGTATTATTTTCTTCATAATTCATGTCAAGTGAAAAATCATGAAATGTGTATTTGGACTATGTTATATGATTTTTAACTATAATTACTATACTGTAAAACTAGAGGAAGTTTTAAGAAAACAAAGTGAAAGCACGAAAATAAAAACTGTTTCTTCAATCTAACTAGAAAACCACTGCCAGGGCCGGGGATTTAGCCCAGTGGTTCCATCACCTGCCTTGCAAGGGCGAGGACCCAAGTTCGATCTCTGGTACCAAAAAAAAAAAAAAAAACCACTGCCAACTGGTTGTAATTTGTGTTAATTTCTCTCTCCAAGTCTTTGAAAATTGGAGTGCTGCACATATTTCCTGGTAACCTGAAGCACTCTAAGAACACTCTTAAATAGTAGACTGTATTTTATGTCAATAATCTATCTCTGTACATAGTTGTGTCTGAGTATCACTTTACCAAATGCCCACTATTAGATGTTGTTTTTTCCTCATTAGTTTTCTCCTAATAATGCTCTGACTATAATTTTCTAGACAAACTTTAGGAGGCTATGTATTAGCAACATAAAATTGAAATGACGAAATTATGAAAA